TCGAAACGAGAACGGCCCACGAGATCGCCAAAACACCGATGAGGTCCACCCCTTACTGGCGACCGCCACGTTTAGGGGAACGAAGAATGACACAAGCATAAAAGCTCGGAGGTCCGCGCGGATTTCTCGGATCCGCGCTGGACCCCCCTCCCTGGCGCGCGGAGGCGCCGCCAGGGGCGCTCCGCGCGGATCCGAGAAATCCGCCCGGATCCCCGAGTTGTTATGTTTATGCCATCCTTCGTTCCCCTAAACGTGGCGGTCGCCAGTAAGGGGTGGACCTCATCGGTGTTCTGGCGATCTCGTGGGCCGCTCTCGTCTCGACCTCGCTCTGCAGCAGCGGAGGCGCGAAGGCGAAGCGAGGGGAAACGAACACAACACGAAAACAAAAACAAAAAAAAACTGCTTAAGTCGAGCCCTAACTTGGGCGCCCGAGTTATCCGGGGTAAGTCGGGTCCGGGGTAACGCGGGTTTGGATTCCCGAAAAACAAACCCGAGTTAGCCCTGACCCGAGTTACCCCTGATGATTCGGGGCTCTGGGCGCCCGAGTTATCCGGGGCAACTCGGGCCCGGGGTAACCCGGGTTCGGAGTCCCGAAAAGCGAACCCGGGTTAGCCCTGACCCGAGTTACCCCTGATGATTCGGGGCTCTGACTAACGTTGTCCACTTCGAACCGGAAGGCCAAAAACATGGCACGAGCATGAGCTGTCGAAGAAGGCCTCGTTCTGCAGCAGAGGAAGAGCGAAGACAAAACGAGGGGAAGCGGACACAACACGAAAACAAACACACACCGCTTGGGTCGAGCCCTAACGCTGTCCATGTCGAACCGGAAGGCCAAAGACATGGCAAAGAGCACGAGCTGCCGAAGAAGGTCCGTGCGGGTTTCCGCCGCCTGCCCGACAGCTGCCAGAGGCGTTCGGCGCGGATCCGAGAAATCCGCCCGGACCTCCGAGTTTTTATGCTTATGTCATTTCTTCGTTCCCCTAACGCTGTCCATGTCGAACCGGAAGGCCAAAAACATGGCACGAGCATGAGCTGTCGAAGAGGGCCTCGTTCTGCAGCAGAGGAGGAGCGAGGACAAAACGAGGGGAAACGGACACAACACGAAAACAAAAACACACCGCTTGGGTCGAGCCCTACCGCTGCCCTCCTCCTCCTCCTCCTCCTCCTCCTCATCCTCCTCCTCGTCCTCGTCCTCCTCCTCCTCCTCCTCCTCCTCCTCCTCCTCCTCCTCCTCCTCCTCCTCCTCCTCCCCATGTCGAACCGGAAGGCCAAAGACATGGCAAAGAGCACGGGCTGTCGAAGGAGGTCCGTGCGGGCTTCCCGGGCCGGCGCCGGGCCTCCCTCCGCCACACCTCCTCCTCGGCCGCGCGGGCCGCGCCCGGGGGGCGGCGGCGGGGGCACCGCCCGGGGTGCTGGGACCGCAGGTGGACAAAAAAGTGGAACCCTTGACTCTGGCCCCTCCCCTCCCCCCCCACGTTCAAAATATTGATCCCAGGCATGCAAGAGGACAGGCTTGAAAGGACAATGACATGGGACCAGGCACCGCCAGGGGTGCTGGGACCGCAGGTGGACAAAAAAGTGGAACCCTTGACTCTGGCCCCTCCCCTCCCCCCACGTTCAAAAAACTGATCCCAGGCACTCAAGAGAGGAGGCCTGAAAGGACAACGGCATGGGACCCCTGGGGCCTCCACCGTGCCAGAGCCCAACTTTGAGTTTGGGGAAAGGGGGGGGCGAACATTCTGCTTCCATATTCCTCCTCTTCCCTCCCTCCCGCATCCTCGTGCTGCCTCCGCAAGAGCAGACCGGCGGAGCAGCTGGAAGCATGGTCGGATCAGCGGGGAGCTCAGCCCGGCAGAATGCAGTCCAGCAGGGGCGTGCATGTCGGCCTTGCGCGCATTTCTTTTTTTAAATAATTAAAAACCTAATAATAATAAAATATATATTTTTTTTTTTTAAAAAAAAAAAAAAAAAAAAAAAAAAAAAAAAAAAAAAAAAAAAAAAAAAAAAAAAAAAAAAAAAAAAAAAAAAAAAAAAAAAAAAAAAAAAACGTCAGACCAGCTCCTCGTCGGCGTCCTCCACCTTTTCATCTCTGCCTCCGTTGTCCTGCACGAGATGGTGTCGACGACGACGGGGTTCCACCTTTTTGTCCCCCTGCCGGAGGGCGTCCACCGCCGACCCGACAGTAACAACAGCAGCAATCATTGCAAGACTCTTCGCTCCTGTTGGCACGCGTGTCTTGCACTCTGCATGCCCCAACCCTCGACCCCCTTTCGGGGAGAATATCTTCCATGTCGGCCGCTGACTGAGATGCGAGGACCACTCGAGCGAGAGCGCTGTTCCTGAGTTCGGGGGCCTCTCTGGCCAGGGGCTCTCAAAATACATATGGCGAAATGTCGAACGGGAACTCTTGTTGCCGTGACTGGGCCTCGACCAACTTGCCTGAATTACGAGAAGGTCTCGAGCGAGAGCACCACTCTTGAGTTCGGTGGCCTCAAGGGCTTTAGCGAATACATCTTGAGGAAGTATCGAACGAGAGCCCTTGTCGTCGTAGTTGGGCCTCCACCAGTTTGACTGAATCATGAGAAAATCTCGAGCGAGAGCGCCGTTCCTGATTTCGGGGGCCTTCCTGGCCAGGGGCTCTCGGAGTAAATCATGAGGAAGTATCGAGCAGGAGCCCTTGTCGTCGTGGCTGGGCCTCCGCCAACTTGACTAAATTGCGAGGAAGTCTCGAGCGAGAGCGCCGTTCCTGAGTTCAGGGGGGCGTCTCGGGGAAATTGTGAGGAAATATCGAGCGGGAGCTGTTGTCGTTGTAGCCAGGCCTCCAAGGGCACACATCTACACTCAAGCCAACGCTCGCGCGGGAACCTCGCTTTCAGAGAAAATGTAGCCGGCGTCAAAACGAGAGCGCGCGGAACCGTTTCCGGAGATCAACCATAATAATTATCTGAGAAGAATACACAACACTGCAGCAACAACAACAACAATTACACCAACAACACCAACAACATCAACAGCAACAGCAGCAACACCAACGACAATAACAACGACGACAACAACAACGACAATCATGTTAAGACTGTTCTCTCCTATCTGCTCGCGAGCCATTCAACACGCATAACTCAAACCAATCGATACCCGCCCTCTTCGTCTTCGATCGTACCCCCTTGGTGGTATGTATCTTTCTTACCTGCAACGTGTATTTCGTGCAGCCCCTAAGGCAGGGGAAGAGAGGACGGATGGAAGGAAGGGACAAGGGGGAGGGAGGAGGATGGAGCACGAGAGAGGGTAGCAGGAAGGGTGCAGAACCAGACGGGCAGATCGGGCGGGTAGACCCTAACGGGCGGGTCGGGAAGGTGGACCCAGGCGGCCAGGTCGAGCAGGCGGGTTGCTGAAGCGTGCGTCCTGCATGAACCGCGAGGAAGTTTCGAGCGGTAGCGCGATTCCCAAATAAATCGTGAGAAAGGCCAAAGCGAGAGCGTGATTCCTGAGTGTCGAGGGCGCGGAGTCCAAATGAATTGCGAAGAAGCCCCGCGCGAGAGCGCGCTTCCTGGACAAATCGTGAGGACGTCCCGCGCGAGAGCGCGATTTGGGAAACAGCTGCGAGGAAATGTCGGGCGGGAGCCGTTGTTGCTGTTGTAAATCGGGGGCCAGCGGCCCAAGTTGGTGATCCCTCGCTGTCCCTTGTAAAAAAAACCCAGGTGTGAGTCCAGGGACAGTACAATGGTTACCGGAGGGGGGGGATCAACAATTGAGATTCTTAGAACTCAACAACAACAACAGCAGCAGCAACAGCAACAGCAACAGCAACAGCAACAGCAACAGCAACAGCAACAGCAACAGTAACAGTAACAACAACAACAACAACAACAACAACAACAACAACAACAACAACAACAACAACAACAACATCCATATCAACATCATCAACAATAACAACAAGAGCATCAACAGCAACAGCACCAACAGCAGCAACAACAGCAGTAGCAACAGCAACAACATCGACCACAACAACAACAGCAAGAACAACAACAGCAGCAACAACAACAGCAATAACAACAGCCGCAGCAACAACAACAACAACGACGACAGCAACCGCAACCGCAACAGCAACATCAACACCACCGGCAGCAACAACAGCAACAGCAGCAACGGCAACAGCAACAACAACAGCAACAACAACAACAACAACAACAACAACAACAACAACAACAATTACTAGCACGTGGGGACACTCCGTTCTCACCAGTGCCAGGGTTTTCATAGGAGGCGGGCAATACCCCCACTTTGTGGGGGGGCCGGTTCAAGCTCTACCAAATTTCCAAACGACTCTTCGCCACCACCCACACCCAGCTTCCCGCCCTATGACGTTCGGACACTTCACTTCGTGGCATGCGGACGACCGTGGCTACTATTCAGGGCCCCGCGGCCGACGACGACGGCGTGCGCGCGCGAAGAAAAAACGAATGTGTCCCGCATGGTATTATTTGACAGGGATGATGGCCCTGGCAGGTGCGCAACCGTTGTCGCAGAAGTTCGAAAAAGTTGCTCGCAAAAGCCCGTTTGACAGAAATGTTTAAAAAGTGTTGGGTTTCCTACGAATCCGCAAGAGCGCGCGGGATGAGATTTTGACATTTTTTTGTTGAAAAACCATTAGTTTTTTGATGTTTTTATGTTGAAATCGCTCCGAACACTAAGCTTTTGGAAGGATTTCGTCTTGCGCGCGCGAATGTCCACTTTACCTTATTTTTTGCAAGGGATTCTTGAAATTTGATTATATTAGAACAAGAAATGTCATTTTATAGTGTTTTTTGCAAGGGAAAGCGGGGGGAACAAAACAACCGGATCTTGATCACATCGAATTACCTGAGGCTTCCTCACGAAAATGATGAAAATGTAGCTGCGGCCTAGGCGGCGCAGGGGGGCCGTGCACCAGGGGTCCCAACAATAATTATTCTTTAGAATTAATAATGTTCAACAACAACAACAGCAACAACAACAACAACGATAGAAAAAGACGCGCGGACCTCCGAACGAGTGTGCTCACGCAGCTCTGGGCCCCCCCGCCTTTTGCCTCCCAAAACAGTCGCGCATGCGTGGCCACTGTGGCCTCAAGGGGAGCCTGGTGGTCTGGAGCCCGGGCTCACGGAAAAATGAGGGCGCCCGTGCAGGGGCAGGGCCGTGGGCCTCCGGAGAAAAAGGGCTCCGCAGCGAGCTGTCCGCCGAGGCGCGCCGGCTCCGAGGCGGGAGGCCTGAGGGATGTCCGGGAGGGGCGAGAGCGGTGGTCGGGGCAGAGGCGTCGTCAGCTCGAGGATCCTCAGGCCGTGCGTTGGCGCAGAAGGCATCTGTACACCACCACCGTGCCAGGCCAGGGCCACCCTGGGCCCTAGGATGGTGTGTACGCCCTCCTGGCCGAGCCAGGAGGGTCTACACACCACCCTACGGCCCAGGATGGCCCTGGTCTGGCACGGTGGTGGTGTACAGATGCCTTCGTCGGAGTGTTGGCGCCAGCGTGTGTTTGTCCGCCGAGGCCGACCAAGGCAGCGCAGGCGGCACAGCGAGGGCCGACACAGGCTGCGCGCTATCGGCGGCACCGAGCGGGGCAAACACACGCTTGGGCAAACACACGTCCTGAGGAGCATCGATCAGAGGACCACCACCGACGAGAACCCATCAGTGGAGCGCCGACCCGTCGGGCGGTGGCACGCCCGCGCGCCACCCCAAGACAAGACGACGCTCGGGCTTGTGCGGCAACTCGTGGGAGCCTCCCCTGCTGTCTTGCTGGCTCTCGCGAATGGACGCTGGCCGACGCTGGTCGACGCCAATCGATGCCAAATCGACGCTGATCGACGCCAGTCGACGCCAAATCAGCGCTCCCCCCGTCGATGGCAGGACGCTGGCGCACGCACAGACGGAACTGCGAGGGCGCGCGGGGCTCCCAGGCTCTGCTGCCGCATCGGGCGCAGCCTCCGCCCGAGGGGCCCCGGCCCCGGAACCGACGGTGGGCTCCCGGTGGCGGTGGCCCACGATCCGCCCCTGAGCTTTGGACGCCCCGAAGTGGGTACGGAAAAGGTGGGCACCATGCCCAACAGCACGTGCTGTCCCAGACCAACAGCGGCCGCCGTCGGGCGGGCGGCCCTCTGTCTCGAGCGGACACGGGCAGCGGCGGCGCGGACAGCGAACGCTGTTCAAAATCAACGGGAGCTGCTGTTGGGCGTTGTGCCCATCCTTTCCGCACCCGTATCGCTCGTGCCGATGAACGGGGCCCACGGACCAGCTGCATGCGGCCGGCTTTCCTGGCGCCCACTCGCCATCGCTCGGACGTCCATTCCGTGTTTTTTTTTGTTGGTTTTGTGCGTGTTTTTTTCGCCAACTGATCAAGGATGCTCCTCGATGGTCCTCGCCGAAGGAAAAATGCATTCGTCCGAGCGATGCCGAGCCCAAGAGGCGCAGGGAGCGGCCGGCTGGTCGAGGAGCGTGCTCAGCCGGCGGGGCCAAGACCAGCTGCACGCAGCAGGGCACGTGAGCACCACGCCTCCGCCCACCCCCCGCTTTCGTGCCTCCCGAGCTGTCCGAGGGACTCCGTCCCACTCCTCACCCTCCGCATCTCAACGCGGGCACCTCCGGCGAACGTCGGCGAAGTGCTGTCCCTGGAGGTGGCAGTGGCGGGCCGGGGTCACTCCGCCACTGTGGACCACTTGGCCTCCCCCCGCACGCCCAGGAAGATCTTCCTCTGCACATCGTGGCTCTTGCTGGAGGAATTCCACCAAGCCAAGAACTCGGGGAAGCTCACTTCCTCCCTCTGGTTTGAATCCATCTCTGTCATTGCCTGGTGCAGCTCCGCACCAGTCAGCGGGAAGCCCAGCTCCGCAGCCGCCTTGCCGATGCCCTCCTTGGAGAGCACACCCCGATGCTTGAGGTCGATCTTGTCGAAGATGTCTTTGACGTCGGCAGTGCAGGCCGCTCGCAAGGTGGCCTTCTGCTTGTTGGGCGCGGGCCCGGCAAAATCCTTGGCCAGCAGCTCCTCGGCCATCTCGTGCTCGCGCAGCCTGCGGGCCTCGTCCCAGCCCAGCTGGTTCCCCATGATCTCGACGACCCTAGGCAGCGCCAGTTTCGCTGCGGTGGAGTTCAGGTAGGCGAGCCTCGTCCGCCTGCCCAGGATGTCCGCGGGCTTCACTGCCAACTCGTGGTCTATGGCATACCGCACCTCTGGGTGCGTTCTGACCAGAATCTCAAGGCGATTCCAGCGGAGGACCTCCCGGAGCCTCTCAGGAGGCCCAGAAGCGGGAACACGAGGGAAGAGCAGAGGCATGATACCGCTGCCCCTCCCTCTCGCGGCGCATCGCCGCGCGAGCGCCACCGCATCGCTTGCGGACCTGCCGTGTGGACTGGATCATACTACTGTTCCGCGCCGCGCGAGGCCTCCAGGAGGAGGAGGAGGACGAGGAGGAGGAGGAGGAGGAGGAGGAGGAGGAGGAGGAGGAGGAGCAGGAGGGTGGAGGAGGAGGAGGAGGACGAGGACGAGGAGGAGGAGGAGGAGGAGGAGGAGGAGGAGGAGGGTGGAGGAGGAGTCTGGAGTCTGGAGTGCCACGACGAAGTCGAATGATAACTTTAATTACCACCTCTCTCCCCACTCAGAAGGACTCGAAGGCGTGATTCCTGACCTTGAAGTAGTGGAAAACAAAGAGAACCACAAACTTGCCAAGGAGCGAGCGAAGCACGACACCACGGAACGTGTACTTCACCATATTGCCGAAAGACTCATGTTCCTCGCAACACATTCCACGAGCCCACCAATGGTAAGGAAACGCACTCAGAGCGAAGACTGCTTAACAGGCGCGAATTTGATTCTATTAGGCCCACTACAGAGGTTGGCAGCCCAGGTTGCGAGCCAGGGATACACCACCACATGGTCATCGGGCATCCTCGAAAGAACATCGCCTCCGCCACCCGCCTCGCACCCTTGCACACCAGAGACGCAATGCAACCAATAAGGTGAGGCAAAAGAAGTAGTACCCATGATATGCACCAAAATTTCCCCATACTTGAGATGCCAGTGACTGCGATAGCACCAGAGGCACCGCCCACAACTAACAGGGTCACATACACCCCCCGTGCGGTGATGGGGGAAAACGGCACTGTAAATGATGGCACCAGCAGCGACAACTACAGGTAGCATACACCCCCCGTGCGGAGGTGGGGGAATGCGAAACTGTAACTGACGGAACCAGCTGAAGCCCAGGCCGTGTCTGAGAGAAATTCGCACTGTTTAGCCACCAAGCGAATGGAGCCGACAGGTTTCACCCGACAAGGTGCCACTCAAGCACCGCGATGAGGTACAGTGCACGAGGGGCCATGAGCGAATTGGAGCCAAAAGACCCGACGCGCCCAGGGCCCCCCGCTGTGCTTGAGCCAAAATGGCTTGAGCCAAAATGGCTACGGAGGGTGGAGGAGGAGGAGGAGGAGGAGGAGGAGGAGGAGGAGGAGGAGGAGGAGGGTGGAGGAGGAGGAGGAGGAGGAGATGTTCCTCATAGGTGTCGGTGCCTTTTCCTCCTCGAAGCCTCGGCCTCCAGGTACGGGTACCCCGTGGTGGCGGCGGCCCCCTCGTACAGCCGGGGGTAGTGCTTGTAGAGCCCCGAGCGCGAGCCCCTGACGGTGTCCGGCTCCGCGTAGGCGAGCACGTCGGCGGCCCGGGTCCCGTAGTTCCGCGCCAGGTGCTGCGCCACATCCCAGGCCAGGTCGAACTTCTGCGAGAGGACCACTGCGAGGTTCTCGTGGTATCCGCTGGGGCAGAGGGCTGTCTGCCCAGCTCCAATCAGTGGCGTCGTCAAGGACGCTGATGGCCCCGCCTTCTTTTTCAGCTCTTTCGCGTCCGGACGCTCCAGCACCTGGTCCACGCAGTCCTCGGCCATCTCCCGCCAGGTGGTCCACTTGCCCCCAGAGATGAAGGTGATGCCATTCTTCGGATGGTGCGACACGGTGTGATCTCGAGACACGCTGCTCTGGTCAGCGGCGGTAGGATCCACGCACAGCGGGCGGATGCCATACCATGCAGACATCACGTCGCGCCTGCGCACCGACAGGCTCGGATTCAAATACTTCTCGCACTCGTTGATCAAGTACTGGATTTCGTCCTCTGGCACCTCGTGGTGAAGATCCGGCTTGGTCTTCACGTCTGTGGTGCCGACCAGCGTGTAGCCCTCCCACGGGATGAAGAACAGGAAGGAGCCGCGCGAAGTCATCATGTCGACCATGCCCAGATGCCTCGGGCAATAGTACTGCGGCAGGACGATGTGTGTCCCTCCCGAGCCGTTCACGCACGGCTTGATGTCCTCTGGCGGTACTCGGGGATCTTCTGACCCGGGTCAATCCAGACCCGGGTCGGCAGGAAGCCAAAAAACTGCAATGCAGGAAAAAAAACTGCATCGCAGGTCTTCGCCAACCCGGACCAGCCAATATGCGCGGCCGCCTCGCGGCCACGAGCGGCTTGCCAACCCGGGTCAGCTAGAGGGGATCTTCGCAGGATCCTGCAGGATCCAGCGCCCTGGCTGACCCCCGTTTACACGGACCCCCGTCTCTTAGGCCCCGAGGTTCGGGGATGGACAGACCCCCTTTAGTAGAACGTGGTTTAGTGAAAACGACCTGAGGCCCAAACCTGGCGGGCGCAAGCCTAGAAAATGACGGCCACGGCGCCATCTCGAGAACCGAAAACGGACAATTCACTAATCGACGTGTCACTGTTGGGTGTTCTGTCCACCTCCGAGAGGTACGCAAGAGTTGACCCCGGGCAGGAGGGGCATCTGGTGCGCGGCGTTCGTGGGCCGCCGTCGGGGGCCAAACCCCACCGATCCACGCGCGCCAGCCGGGTGCTGGTGGGACCCCCGTGTGCCTCCTCCTCCTCCTCCTCCTCCTCCTCCTCCTCCTCCTCCTCCTCCTGCTCCTCCTTCTGCTCCTCCTCCTCCTCCTCCTCCTCCTCCTCATCCTCCTCCTCCTCCTCCTCCGCACCGAAGGTCATTCCAGCAAAGGGTCACTCTTGCGCGAAGCCGGGTCCTTGCCCTCGCTGAGCTCGCGGAGACCATCTGTGAAGGGGCCTCCGGCGTAGATCACCTTCTTGGCCCTCACGGGGAACGGCTGGGCACCCTCGGACGCCTGGTCCGTGACCTCCGCGCCGCAGGCCCTGCCGTCCCCATCGAAGATGATCTTGTCGACCTTCGCGTAGTTCACGACGCAGGCCCCGCGCATGGCCGCCGTCAGCGCGATCGAGATGTTCGTGCGCGCGTCGTTGTGGGTGCCCTCGTAGAAGACCGACACGTACTTCATCCTCTTGCAGTCCAGCTGCGGGAACTCCTGCTGGGCCCTCGAGGGGGTCATGACGTACGAGGAGGGCGCACTCCAGAGGCCCAGGGCGTCGTACGCCTTGAAGAAGAGCACGAAGAGGCCCGTCGCGGGGCCGAGCGCGGCCGGGGGGTAGTCGAAGGGCGGGGGCCAGATGAACCAGGTGGTCAGCGGGACGGCAATCGGGATCCAGGACGTGATATGGGGGTTCATGTACAGCATGTAGGTTCTCTCTCGGAAGCACCCCATGACCATGTGGAAGGTGCCCATGAACTCCTCGACTGCGGCAACGGGCGTCATGATGGAGGACGGGCTGAACAGCTTCACGAGCCCTTTGACGAGGTATCGGGAGCCCGCCCACAGGAGCTTGGTGGACTTGGACGACGTACCAGAGGCGAAATCCTCCTGCTCCACGCAGGCCACGCTGAGCCCGCGGAGCTGCGCCTCAAGCGCCACGCCAGCCCCTGTGGCGCCGCCACCCACCACGAGGACGTCGAACTCCTCCTGGGGCAGGAAAACCTGCCCAGTGAAACGACCCTCTCCTTCGCTACATGGAGCTTGGGGATACTTAGGGGACGGAGGAGGAAGAGAAGACCTGGAGGGGAGAGCGCCTCCCTCAGCTGATTTCCGAGCTCCGCTCCTTGCCGCTCTGCAGCCGCGCCAGACTTTCCGCCCTGCTGGGCACGGGCCTCTCCTTAGTCGCCTGGATGGTCCGCTCGGCCAGGGCTGCCTTCTGCTTGGAGACGTAGCCCCCGTAGCAGACACCCCCTGCGGCGGTCGCACCGACACCGCCCAGGGCAACCAGCGCCTTAGAAGCATCCCATGCCCGATCCAGACCGATCACCAGCCTGATCCTGATCTTCTTTTTCCGCAGCGGAACACACGCACCGACAAGCCACACACATCTCACACATCAGCTGGCAATGCGAGTCAAATCACACTGCCATGAATCGGGAGACACTGCTGGGACGAGGAGGAATGAGGACGAGGACGAGGAGGAGAAGAGGACGCGGAGGAGGACGAGGATGACGAGGAGGGGGCAGACGAGTCTGGAAAGATATATCGATCTACCCCGCCCAGAAGGTCACCAAATGAATTCAACACCTACCATCGCACAGCGCTACCTGTGCATCGACCTGATCCCGATCTGGCCAGCCCGACACAACCCAGAGCGCCACAGCAGATAGAGAACCGAACGGCCGCCCCGACCCGATCGAATCGTGGATTAGCTATCCGATCGAGCCTCGATCGCTACATCTTGATCTTCTGGGGCCCTCACTTTCCTGCCGCGGCGGCTAGATACCGGGGGATCGGACACACTTTTACAAAACCCTCGTCGGCCACCGCTCCCGATGGTGCTGCTCTGCGCGCGCAGCTGGAGGACGCCGATACCCCGGCTGCGAAACATCCTCCGAAATGTTCACAAGCGTTCTGTGATGTACACGGGATGGCGCCGAGCCCTGAAGCCAAGTTGGCCACGGGCGACCTCCACCTCCTCCTACTCCTCCTCCTCAACCGACGACGACGACGACTACGACGACGACTACAAGTACTGCCTCCTCCTACTACTACTACTACTACTACTACTACTACTACTACTACAACTACTACTACTACTACTACTACTACTACTACTACTACTACTACTACTACTACTACTACTACTACTACTACTACTACTACTACTACTACTTACTACTACTACTACTACTACTACTACTACTACTACTACTACTACTACTACTACTACTACTACACTGCTGCTGCTTCACTACTACTACTACTACTACTACTTGCTCACTCACTACTATACTACTACTACTACGATACTACTACTTACTACGACTACTACTACGACTTACTTCTACCACTACTATCTACTTAATACTACTTACTAATAATTCTACTTAATATTATACTACTTACTACTACGAATATACTATTAATACTACTCCTCAATACTACTACTAACTTACGACTATTCTACTACTGCTTCTAATCCCCCTCTACTTCATACCCCTTACCCGACTACTTCTTCTGCTGCTGCTACTACTACTACTACTACTACTACTACTACTACTGCTGCGATTACTACCACTACTTCTACTACAACTTCTGTTACTACTACTACGACCACTACTACCACGACGGCCCCAACTACCACGACTACGTTAGTACTGCTACCACGACGACGACTACTACGACTACGAAACGACTACGACGACTACTACTACTACTACTACGACGACTACTACTACTACTACCACTACTACTACTACTACTACTACTATACTATAATTACCACTGCTATTACTACGACTATACATCCTTACTACTTATACGACATACTACTACTACTAACTAATACTACTATACTACTACTACTACTCTACTTACTACTCTATACTTAATACTATACTAACTAATATAATACTACCTATTATTTCGACTACTTTACTTACTACTACTACTACTACTACTTACTAACTACTAGACACTACTACTACTATACTACCATTACTACTACTTACTACTATACTACTACTACTACTACTACTACTACTTCTTCTTCTACTACTACTACTACTACTACTACTACTGCGAAACTCACTACTACCACTACCACTACTACTCTTCTCATACTTCTACTTCTGTTTCGCCTTCTACTACGACTGATAACACTACGACTCCTACGACTACGACTACTACTACTACTACTACTACCACCACTACTACTACTACTACTACTACTGCTGCTACTACTACTACTACTACGACTACGACTACTACTACTACTACTACTACTACTACTAGTACTGCTACTACTACGACCACTGCTACGACTACTACTAATACGACGGCGACGACGACGACGACGACGACGACTACTACTACTACTACTGCTACGACTACTACTACGACTACTACGACTACGACTACGATGACTACTATTACTACTACTCCGACTACCACTACTAGTACTACTACTACTACTACTACTACTGCTGCTACTACTACTACTACTACTACTACTACTACTACTACTACTACTACTACTTCTACGGCTAACTCTACAACTACTACTACTACTACTACTACTACTAC